CCACCGCCCGGCCCCTTTGTTTTTTTTTTGTTTTTAAATATATTTTATTTTTATGTGCATTTGTGGTTTTGCCATGGATGTTGGGGTCCCCTGAAACCGGAGTTACAGACAGGTGTGAGCTGCCATGTGGGTGCTGGGAATTGAACTTGGGTCCTCTGGAAACAGAGTCAGCACTCTTAACCCCTGAGCCATCTCTCCAGCCCTCCCTTTATTTTTTGTTTGTTTGTTTTGTTTTTTCGACTTGAGCCAAATTCCTTTCATTTAAATCTAAAAGATCCCTGGGTAATACTAAGGTTCTCTAGACAGAGAGTCATAGCAGTTACCCACCCTTGTAGCAGTCTGTGAGTCCACAATGATCCCCTACCAAAGAACAGACTAACAGCCACATGGGCACTACCCAGCCCTGCTCCCCAAGGCTACAACTGGTTAGACCTGAAGTGGACACCCAGCTCAGGGTAATCAGACCAGATTCTCACTTCTGGGGATTAGAGCTCAAGATGAGAGATCTGGGCAGGCTGCAGGTTGGAACAAAGGCGATGTGAAATTGGAGAGTCGGAGGAGGGCATGTTCACAGCACTGCTGAGAAGCTGCTCTGCTCAGGGATGATGTAGGGGAGCCTGCAGGCAGAGGCTGGAGGCCACGGTCTCCCAGAGAGCAAGAAACAGAAAGAGCGAGAGAGCACAGCTTCCTCGTTCCTCATGAGACTAATTACGTCTCCTCTCGGGCTCCAGGAGACTTCTCCTTGTTCATAAATCGCCTCCCCACCATTACTTCTTAAACTCAAAATAGCACCACTGTTGTTATTGTTTTTGTTTTTACTTGCCATGAAAGGGCCTTTAGACCGCTGCCCTGGAAACACGATTCCAGCTAAGCCCTCTCGTTCAGAAGGCTGACAACAGCCCCGGCTCACTGATCCAGACACCCAAACACGAATTACCAGCTTTGTACCCTTGGCCCAAACACCTGGATTCACCGTAATGGATCCATCCTCTGTACAGGGATAACAATGACAGCTAGCTTATGAGGTCCTTTGAAAGACTGACTGAGGGAAGGGTGAATAGGAGCTCTGAGCACACAGAAGCCATGTGGTCAGTGTCTGCAAGGCAAGTCTAGAACCAGTCCTCTGGCAGGGACCAGCAAGCACAAGAAAAAGAAGCCTAAAGGGACATACTTTTCCCTATTACGATCTTTTCATCTCATCTGTATCAACTTTTCAAAAGCATCAAGGAGCCAAGGAACGTTCTGGAACTCCATTCTAATGATCTCGTCAGACTGGAGGAAACACACAGATACAAGGATGCTCACTGCAGCAGGGTCTGTATGAAGGAAAGACTGCAAGTGTCCAACGCTGTGCTTTGCTTCATCTGTATAATAAAACGTCACAGAGATGTGAAGGATGGAACAGTGGCTCACAGCTGTACCACCAACCCTAGAGAGGTACAGGTGGGGAGTTCAAGACCATCTTCAGCTACACAAGGAGTTCAAGGCCAATGAGACCCCGTATGAAAGACAGAAATGAAACAACAATAACACAACAACAACAACAAATAGATGCGGGGGAGAAAAGACACAGTATTTAATTCTTTAAAAATTATTCTGGGCATGGGGTTATAGAGAGAACTCAACGGTTAAGAACACTTGTTACTCTTGCAAAAGATCTGGGTTCAGTTTCCAGCACCCACATGGTAGCTCACAACCATTTATAACTCTTCTGGCCTTTATGGGCACCGGACACACATATGGTACACAAATATACAGGCAGGCAAAACATTCCTGCATGGGATAGGAGAGATGACTCAGTGGTTAAGAGCATTGGCTGCGCTTCCAGAGGACCCAGGTTCAATTCCTAGCACCCACTTGGAAGCTCACAGTTGAAATTCCTGTTCTAGAAGATATGATACCCTCTTCTGGCCTCTGCAGGCACAGGGCATACATGTGACACACATACATACATGCAGGCAAATCACCCTTAAACATTAAAAAAAAAAAAAACCTTACACACATAAAAATAAAATAAATAGCTGGGCATAGTGGCAAATGCCTTTAATCCCAGCACTCGGGAGGCAGAGGCAGGTGGATCTCTGTGAGTTCCAGGCCAGCCTGGTCTATATAGTGAGTTCAAGGACAGTCAGTGTATATAGAGAGAAACCTTGTCTCAAAAAAACCCAATAAATATGAAAAAAGAAGTTTAAAAAAATTTCTCAGGCCGGGCGGTGGTGGCGCACGCCTTTAATCCCAGCACTCGGGAGGCAGAGCCAGGCGGATCTCTGTGAGTTCGAGGCCAGCTTGGTCTCCAAAGCGAGATCCAGGAAAGGCGCAAAGCTACACAGAGAAACCCTGTCTCGAAAAACCAAAAAAAAAAAATTAAAAAAAAAAAATAAATAAAAA